ATATATCTTTATATATATATATATATATATATATATATATATATATATATATATATATGTGTGTGTGTGTGTGTGTGTGTGTGTGTGTGTGTGTGTGTGTGTGTGTGTGTGTGTGTGTGTGTGTGTGTGAAATACCACTCATGCATCATAACAAAATCTCGAGAACCATAAAGCCTACAAACTTGAAATTTGGCACCTATGTTCCTCTTGGCTTCGAGGTGCTCACTAAGAAAGGATTTTTCGAAATGACCATCAGAGCATTAGTATTCCCTATATTATTATTATTAACACCTCTAGTGCTAAGGAGTTCTACTCCCCCTCCCCACCTGAAAAGAAATCTGTTCCAAATGCAAAACACAAGCAGAGGAGAGGAGTTTCAGTTTCACAGCAGCAACCAGCTTTAGTACAGAACAGTTGAGCTAAGCCACGCCCAGGTTCCTTGCTGTCTCCTTTCTCACAAAGCAAATACTCGTTCAGTTTCCATGTTTCAGTTTCTAAACAGCTCTTAACTCTCTCACACACTGACAGGACGCTAGCCAGATGAATACCAATGGATGCTGGTAGGCAGCGGCACAATTTCCCCACTTATTTTCCTCCCCAAAAACTAAGCCCAATCACATAGTTTTGTAGCGAAGCATGGGTATAGAGCTAGTTATTTAATAAAAGCCAAGCCAAGTCTAACAAATTAAAAGCCTCTATCAATTTTCAGCTCCAAAATGTTTTCTAAAGATTTTGAAAATATGTGAAAAACAATTATTGGAAACAGAATCAATAGGATCTTGCTGCTTACATTTATATAATCAAAAGCATCTTTGCAAAATTACTTCTTTCGTATATCTGCCTATATTACAATTCATTAAAAAAAATTATATCACTTCCCCTCACCCCCAAACTCTTGTACTAGGAACCCCTGCAATTCTAAGGTATTTGTTATGTGGACATCTAGACTTTCAAGAACAGGAAGCACTGATGGATTGCTTTAATTCATGAATATACAATAAATAAATGGATAAAAATGCTTACCATTGGTCCTGGTGGACCATGTGGACCAGAGGAACCTGGAGGTCCTACAATCTGTGTAAAATATATGCATAAATAAGTTTATCATTTTTACAGATGGGTTCATTGATCTGCTGGGACCATGCAATTAGCTGTAATTGGATGTGCTAGTGGTGCTACCCTTTGTTACAGCATGTTGTGGTTGTTTTTTTATTTCACTTCTGTATCACCCTTCCTAAAGCCCAGGGCAGTTTGCAAATTAAAATGAAAATCATTAAGCAAAACTTATGCCCCTTGCACCACAATCAGGAAGCGAATTGCCCACGGTCATTAAGCAAGACTTCATGTGACCACGATTTCTCATTTTTACTTCACCTTTCTCCATTGATTCTGTGACTTGGCTGTGAAGCCCATAAATGGCTAATTGTGTTGTTTCTATTGTTCTGATCTGATTAGTTTCATAGTTTTAATATGATATTATGTTGTTCTAATTTCTGATTGGGAGCTGCTTGGGGCTGGTTAAAAAACAGGTGGCTATTACTAATGGCTTAAATAAACAATTAATAATAAATAAATCATATTGATTGTAGGATTATGCCACGGTTGTAAATGCCTGCTGGTTATGAAGCAGCCAAATCTCGATCACATGACAGAGGGGATGCTGCATTGATCATAAATGAAAAAATTGGCCTTTTCAGCATGGTCATAACTTCCAATGGTCACTAAACAGGGCAGTGATTATGCAATGACTACCTGTAGTTAGAAAACCAAAATATTATATTTAAAGCAACACTTAAAGAATATAGGAAGACTCACAGAGGGACCTTGAGGACCTGGTAATCCAACATCTCCTTTTTCTCCTTTCATTCCATTGGATCCCTAAAAAATGTTATGGAATTATCATACATACTGTCATCAGCTGATGAACTTTTCTGCAATAAAGCATGACTTATCACGTTGCACCTTACTATTTAATCATAAGACATAATTTGTCTTATGCTTTTATCTAGCCTCATACTCCATACAGATAAATTCAGTCCAAAGCCATTGAAAGATCATTAGGCTTCCTGACTCCGTGCTGGGTCATCTGACCTAGGCGTCACAAAATCACGAAACAGACTCCTTGTTTCGACAAAACACCTTTTTATTAGGCTAATGTGAATTCCTATCATTCACATCCAGCAAAGTCCCGACAAACAAGTCTTTCAAGGATGAATTGCAGCCACAGACCTTATCAGGCTTGGAGAGTTGCCAGGCCTTGTATGCAATGCTGTACAAGGAAATACTTGGCAAGGAGTCTCTGGGAGTCACAAACTTAGATAAGCAGATCTTCACACTGATTAAATGAATTAATTGTCTCCTGCAAATACCACTCCCCTTTCATTCCTATTTATTCCCTATGGGAGGGGCCATTCACCATCCACCAGTGCCTTTACTCCCAAGTTGATGTTTGTTCCTTAACTGTTCCCTTCTCCTGACAGCTCTGCGCATGCGCACATCAGGAACAGGCTCCAGCTGTTCTTCTGCTCCACTGATCTCCGACTCCGAAGGCAGCTGATAACTGTTGGACAGCCCTGGTCCCATCTCTGCCTCCAACGCAGAGCACTCATCTGAGCCTTCCCCAGACTCCAGGACTGGCCCTCCCTAATCTCCTCACTGTCAGAATCTGCTGCCAGTTCCGCTGGCCGGCCACAACACTGGGTACCAGCTCCAGTTATTTCAAGATGTTGGGTGCAACTCAAGTCATGTAATCAGAAACTTTTTTTAGGTGTCCCTACAGGATTTGATGTGTTGAAAATTAGTTACAACTATCCTCAGAATGCCCAACTTTGAGTATGTCTATGTATTTGGCACATCTACAATTGTCAGATTTGTGATTAGTCTGGGCCTTATATTTTGATGTTAAAATAATTCTGATATTCAGAATATGCTGTTTAATGCAGGATCTTTGTCAACAAAGGCATCAGGTTGAGGAAATTATTCTATAATGACCAATGATGCCTGTCTAGAGCCTTAGACTAGATCCCTCCATACTCCCTGGAGATAACAGGAACTGAATGTGGAATTATTTGGATGCAATCCTTGTATTCTATTCTGCTATATTTTTGCAAGCTAACTTGTGGAAACTTGAAACATACATATTATATAAAAGAAGTTTAGTTACAAGAAAAATATCAGATATATTCAAATATTTTTTTTTGTTTGAGCTTGAATTGAGTTTAACATTGAACTGTAAGAGATGACCAAGCTGACCAAGGGAGGGGTCAAGCATGTCATTGTTTTGAATCCCTTCACACCCACAAGAGATATAAATCCACCCCAGCTTGAATTCTATTGACTCTTATCTACTGCCAGTTTATTTTCACCATTAGTAGTTCAGATTCTTGGAAAGAGTGTTAGCATGCAATACATCAATATTCATTTGAACCTCATTCATTGCTGATTTCCTATGCTTGATATGAACTTTAAATTTATAAACTGTATCATCACCCTTGTGGGAGAAGTGCACTTGGGAAGAATAATAAGTGCCCCAACAAACCAGCAGTGTTTTTAGTTCTTTATCTCCTCAGTGGGATTCTATATACAGCTGCTTTCATTTTACATATACAGTAAGAGCCTAAAGATGCCTGATAATATGGAAATGTTTTCATAGGAATGCTATCTCCTGTAATGCAGGAGACCTGGTCAGGCTATTAATAATACACTATAAATAAGAAGGGAGAGAAAGAGGGAGGTGGGGGGGAAGGAGGAGGAGGAAGAGAGAGAGAGAGGGAGACAGAGAGAGAGGGACAGAGAGAGACAGAGAGACAGAGAGAGAGAGACAGAGATAGAAAGACAGAGAGAGAGAGAGAAAGAGACAGAGTCAGAGAGTCAGAGAGAATACTTTAAATACTCTGTTATACAGTACATACTGCTTTATCAGTTCATCTCCCACTAAGTTTAATTAACATATTTATTTGCAATTTTGCTAGTTAGCTTTGTCACATCTTGGAGTTAAAACACAATTAACTGATTTACCATCAAAGTAGTTGATTTAAATGTTTCCAAAGGAAGATAAACCAACAATGATTATTTCTATACCTTCATGATTTTTATTTACACACATACAAACACATGTAGGTTCAGTACATTTAAATGTTCAGTGCATTTACACTGACCATACACTTGGAATTCCTTCCACAAAAAATTGCTATTTCTTTTCTTCTTTCAAAGCTTCCTTCAAAGCTGTCATTTCTTTGGTTCCACTAATCTGAAATTAATTAAAACTACTACTCTTTTGTCGTTGTCTTCCATTGTTGTCCTTCCTTTATGTAAATCTTTTTCAATAGTATCAAGTAACATGTTCTGAAGTATGAATGATTGTCTTTGAGAAAAAGATACTGAAGAAGTAATGAGAAATGAGGCAATCAAATATAATTTTAAACAAACTTACTGGCAAACCTGGTAGTCCAATACCTCCTTTTTCTCCTGGTATTCCAGGGTCACCCAGATCACCCTTTGATCCTTTGGGCCCCTGAAATGGCATATTTATGACAATGAACTAACAATGTACACATTATACTAACAATGTACATCAATTTGAACTGTATTAACTTCAGAAATAGAAAGTGTAATTACATTAATATCTAGTAGTATTTTTTATTCTTCAAAGATAGGGAAAATGTTCTGCAGCAAAATATTTCCTTCTTCCTCTCTCCTCCCTCCCTCTCTTCTTTTATATTATATTATATTAGAGACAAACAACCTACTCTCTAATAAACAATTTGGTTTCAGAAAAAAACTATCCTGTAATCTGCAACTCTTACACTGCAAAAACATATGGACTACACAACTCGATCAGGGCAAAGCAATAGACGCAATCTACATAGACTTCTGTAAAGCCTTTGGTTCAGTGGTACTGTAGTGGTACATTTCAGTGGTATCACTACAGTGGACCTCTGTGATCATATTAAGAGCAACTGCGTTCTCTTCGCTGATGATGTAAAGCTATTCAACACCACAGACAATACTGCTACCCTTCAAAAAGACCTTGACTATGTATCAGAATGGTCAAACAAATGGCAACTTCAAATCTCAACAAATAAATGCTCTGTCTTACATATTGGCAAAAAAAATCAGAAAATAAAATACAAGCTGAATAGTCAAGACCTTGTTGATGATCCAAACTCTGTCAAGGACCTTGGAGTACTCATCTCTAATGATCTAAGTGCTAGAGCCCACTGTAACTACATAGCCAAAAAGGCATTAAGAACTGTTAACCTAATACGACATAGCTTTTTCTCTGGTAATATCACACTAACTAGAGCATACAAAACATTTGCTAGACCAATACTTGAATGCAGCTCATCAGTCTGGAACCCACATTACTTATCTGATATTAACACAGTTGAGAAAGTCCAGAAATATTTCACAAGAAAAGTTCTCCACTCCTCTACTCATTGCAGAATACCTTATGCCACCAGACTTGAAACTTTAGACCTAGAAAACCTGGAACTATGCCTCCTTCAGTCCAATCTAAGTATAGTATATAAAATCATACATTGCAATGTCCTACCTGTCAATGAATACTTCAGCTTCAACCATAACAATACAAGAGCACACAATAGATACAAACTCAAGGTAAACCGTACCAAACTTGATTGCAGGAAATACGACTTCAGCAACAGAGTGGTCAATGTCTGGAATACTCTACCTGACTCTGTGGTTTCTTCCCCAAACCCCAAAAACTTTAACCTTAGACTGTCTACTATTGACCTCACCCCTTTCCTAAGAGGTCTATAGGGGGAGTGCATAAGCACACCAACGTGCCTACCGTCCCTGTCCTATTGTTTCTTTTTATTTTTCTTATATGTATCCATTTCATGTATTCATAACTATGTTTATACTTATACCAGTTGTCTTATAATCGCTTGATAAATAAATAAATAAATATTCAATTTTTAGTGAACCAATATCATATCATATTCCTTTATCAATAGTAATGTCATTAAAATGTTCAAGTACCTGCTCTCCATCAGCACCAGGTAATCCTGGTGATCCAGATTCACCCTGCAAAATAAAATCCAACTCCAACTTAATTCCACGGTGGTAATTATATCTGGAATATAATGTAATTTAATACTAAATAAATAAGTCTGCTTGATAAATGTGCTTTCTCCTTCTTGCTTCTTCCTACAAGGAAGAAATCAGAGGCACCTACTTCAATTTTTTTTTTTTTGGAAAATTTTATTTGGGTTTTCACAAAAACAAAATACAAATAAAACATCTTTTTTGGGAAATAGCATGGTCCCAGGTTATCACTTCTTCATACAGACACAAACTCAGTTTCATGCTTATTTTTATGTTCTATTCCATATCTTATTACCGTTTTATATTTTCTACATAGTTTTTCCCCTCTTTTAATTTTCTCAACTTTATTTTAATTATCTCATCTCAATTCAAATCATTATATTTATACTTTTGTCTGTCCTGTTGCAATTTCATATTATCTTTTCTTATTAAACAAATTTTCCCCTGTAGTTACTAATTGGAGTATGACACCTTTATATCTTTTAATTTTATCCATTCAAACTCTTATTTAAGCTTCAATGTATACCTTTAAGATTATAGCATTCAATGTAATACATAACTTCCAATCGAATTCTGCTTGGTACATTCTTAAAATACACACTATATTCTTAAAAAGAAAAGATTATATATATATGTAAATAAATCACACATTCCATTCCAATTCAATTCTATCATTAATATTCATTAAAATCTTAACTTCTTTAACATTTCTTTTCAATTAAATATCATACTTCCTTGGGAACACTTATAAACTTTCCATAATTAATTCTTTTTTTCCCATATTTCTCACTTACATTTTTATAAATCATTAATAATAATTAAAATGTTCCCATCCTTTCCTAATTTAATTATCCCATTCACTTTAATTCATTTATTTATTAACAAACATTCTACTACATTACAGTGAATATTTTATCCACCATTTTAGTCATATTTTCTAAAATTATTTATATTTGTAATATAACAATGCTATCTTATGTACCTTTGCAGAATCCCTTTTACAATTAAATTTTCACCCATTATCTCTAAACAGGCTTATGGTTTCAATCCTTATATCTTTTCCCTGTTTCTCTATATCTTGTTTCTGTCTTTTACAACTTCTTTTCCTTACCTCTTCTTCTCCCTCCACTTTTTACCCCCTCGTCTCTCTACTTCTAATTCTGTAATCCCCTCTTCTGTTGCTTTCTAATATTATACTTATCTTTCAAACTCTTCTTCTTTTTGGTTGTTTTTTCTAGTCTTAAACCTTTCACTCTCTTCCCCCCCTTTCCTTCCCCCCCCCTTAAAATTATTTGATCATTAAAGATGGCTTCATCTTTGTCCCGATCTTCTTGTTCTGCAAGCGTTTCTTGTTATTTCTCATAGTTCCAGATCTCAATTTCTAAGAACTGAAATACAAAGCCAAAAGAACCTCTCCCTTCTTGTGCATCTTCTTTCCATTTTTAAGTTCCATTTCAGTTCTTCTAAGAGTGATGCCATTTTAAACACTTTTAAACAACCAACCGATTAGTTTTAGTCATTTATATGCAAAAACCAAAAATCACCAAGTAATCCAAATAACCCAAGGCTGTTTCTTCTTGCTTCTTTTTTCCACTTTCTCTTCCTGGGGTTCTATTATTTTGTTTCAGTTAGGATGTATCTTTGGGGAATCTTGTTAAAGTTTCACTGTAAGTTCCTTTTAGTTACAGTTCCATTCCTTAGTTCCAGGCAGTCTCCTCCATTTTTCCAGATCCTACCCTTTTATTCTTTTTTTTCTCCTTTTCTGCTTTTAAAAACTTTTAAATATCCAGAAATCTTTATTATCCCTTTGACTTTTATTTTCAGCTTAAATACCTATTAATGTCAAAGTGGATTTTTTTTTCAATTTCTTGCTTAAGTCTCTTAGCTGTCAGTATATGAAAGGGAAGAGAGAAAAAACCTAATCCTTTCCCTTTTTTCTCTCCTTCGCTGCTTCAAAATCTTCTTGGGAACAATGGTATTTAGTTTAAATTCCAGGGTACCTTACGTTTTTGCTTTTTCAGTTTAACCCAGTTGACCAAAACTTTCTCTTCTTATCTTCCTCCTACACATTCTTTTCCAGTTCAGTTCTTCTTTGAGGTGGCCGCTTCTGACCACCGCTGCAACCACCTTCGGGAAAGGGAGCAATGGCCAGCTGGGGAAAAGAGATGCAGCTCTCCTCGACCCTGCTGGCAGTCTCCCCCCTCTTCACTACCTCTAAGGGGTGGCTTAGCTCCGAAACCAGCCGGCTCGGGGCGCTCCGGTGGCGAGCACAGATCGAAACCACGCATGATCACAGATTTCGGTCTGTCGCCGAAGACTCAAACCGGAAGCCTGGCACCTACATCAATTTTTGAACTAACCAATGTTTGTCATTTAGTTTGAGCTAGAAATTCTGATTCACTTCCAAAATATGTTTTCTTGAAACAAACAACAACAGCAATAATCAGTTGTCAATAACAAAGACAAACAAGTCTGGGTAGTGGATATGGCAGTGCCTGATGACAGCAGAATAGAAGAGAAAGAACTGGAGAAAATAACAAAATACAAAGACCTACAAATAGAAATAGAATGACTATAGAGAAAGGCAAGCAAGAGTAGTACCAATAGTAATAGGTGCCTTGGGTGCAGTCCCAAACCAACTGGAACACCACTTGAACACCATAGGCACTGACAAATTTGCCATCAATCAATTGCAGAAAGCGCCTTTACTTGGAACTGCTTCTATCCTGCAACGATATCTGTAACACCATCAAACATCCAGATTTGCCTATCCCAGGTCCTTGGTAAGGACTTGAGAGGTAGACAAAAATGCCAAACCCAGTCTGAACTGTGGCTGACTGTGTGAATAATAATAATAATAATAATAATAATAATAATAATAATAATAATAA